TCAGATGAGCTCTGAAAAAGTGTTTGAAAACGTTTCGGTTTTAATCAATGCTACTCTGAAAAATAAAAAAATGGTCAACTCAGTACTACTGTAGTTTTTAACTGTAGTTAATTTGCTATTAAATATTTACTTGCTCCTAAAGCCAAATTTAATTGAGTGTCTGTTACATTAGAAGATATAATTAAACATATGCTCGTTGGCTTAAGACTCCGAGTTACCTGGCTCACATTCTGGTTGCTCAAAACTCAGTTTTTTTAATTTATTTTCTGAATACAGAACTTGATAAAATATTTCACATACAAAATATGTTGCAAAGTGTTCGAATGTCCGGTTGACGAAACCAGTTTCTGTCCCGACGAAAAGTCCCACTATCAAAACTGTTAACAATTTTCATTTGGCATTTGGCAAATTTGAAACCATGAATTTTTTCTCTATTCTAGCAATTGCTTTGCTTTAATCTTGATCAAATATCCTGTGCGATTAACTCGTGTTGGTAATAATCGGTCCATATTTTTTCGAGGATGAGGCTGAAAATGTGAAAATTTAATGTGAAAAAGTGTGTTTTTGAACGAAAACACATTTTTTCAACCAGACAGCGCTACAAGCCACACTGCAAAAATCTCAATAAATGCATCGAATGTTTTGTTTCCGGGACGCATTATTTGTCGCAATCAGAATTTCAATTGGCCCCCGCCTCACACCCTGCGACTTACTTTTTATGGGGGCACCTAAAAAAGTTTTTAAAATTTATCCACCCAGGACAATCCCAGTCCTCAAACAACGAATTAGAGACGAGATTGCAGCAATTCCTATCAATTTGCTGAACAGAGTTATGCAATCTTTCCAGGATCGATTGCAAAAATGTATAAATCGAAAGGGAGGTCATTTCACTGATGTAAAATTCAGAAAATAATGTTTTTCCATTTATGTATACCAAATGGCTATTCTTTCACTTTTTATTAATATCTTAATTAGTTAATAAAAAGAAAATTTTAAGAAATCTTTCCGTTTCATTGCAGGGCCCGGACTGTTCATTTCATAAATATTTTATTTCACGGTCCTATCTATCTGCAGAAAAAAAATGGCACTTGCGTAAATTTTTTATTTATTTGTCGATTGCTTTACGGTAAAACTTAACGATTTCTGAAAAACTATTTTTTAAATAATACTATTTATAAAATAAATAAAAGTTTGTTTTCCTTCTCGTAAGCCATTAGAAGCCACGTTTACTTGGTCATCACATTTGACTTTTCAACTTTTACCTCAAACAGAACTTTTTTAACATAAATAACTTTCATTGACACTGTTTTTGAGTTACTTCAGAGGTAGTTAAAAAGCTCATTTATATGCTCAGCAGGGATAAGTATATTTTCTCAGAGAGAAAAAAATAGACCAGATGCAACCTGAAAATATTTAGTGCTTAAGTTGAATATAGACTACAACTAGAATATTCCTTCAAGACTGGATCTGATCAAGGATTATATAATTAATAAGTAGTTTTTTTATTATTACTAATTAACTGATGTAATGCGTCTTATCAATCAATGTAACTTTTAGAAATATCTATATGGGTAGTCCTTTTCAGGTTTTTTTTAGTTTTTCGATGCTACAATATTTTTTTCTTTAAGAAGATGTATACAATGTATCTATTTAGTGGATCTAAGCATATTTGATAAACCTTGTAAAATTACCTTCAAAAGGTACTAAGGAACAAAAGAGTTAATTTTAATATTGGGACACATTAAATATTTTTTGAATAAAAAAAGGGCATTCCTAATTAAGCATACCATAACAATAAATTAATTAGATTCTTTCGTTGACTCTCTCCTAATAATTATGATAAAGGCCTCGGAATTTACAACCTTTGGAAAACTTAAATACGTCGCACCAGACTTTCGAACATATATTGTACCATATGTATTGAGCATGTTTTATTGCATATCTGTTAATGTTCAGGAGAGCAGTAGAAAATATGTTCTTTACATTAATATAGCATATATTTATTACGTGAAATATATAATCGACTTGAGTAGTAGAGCACCCAATAAAGAAACATTTTTTAAAATATTAGATCGAGTAGATATGAAAAAATGTAGAGCAATTTTGAAAAATTTGTATCAATTGAAAATATTTTATCAGTAATTTTTGCACAATTGCTTACTAGATTGATTTTGATTGTTGCTTTTGCTTGAATAGTCAATCAGCATAGCTTTTTTCATCAACTTCTACGCCTTTATAAAATAGTTCATCGTATTGAAATAATTTGCTGATTAACTTGCTTATCAATTTCACATTGTAATAAAAAATGATGTATTCGAATTCGCTGATTGACCATGTCCAATGAATGGAGTAAGTGCTAAATTATGCATTCATTATTTAGACCTTTGGAGTGAAGTTGTAGGTAAATAAATTGGTTTACTAATTGCTGTTTTGTTTTCACAATTAATACTAAAAGCTGTTAAATGCTTAATTGTTACAATGCTGACTAAGTACTCAATTTATATTAATGTTGAAAGCATTGATTTAAGTTTGAATTGAAGCACATACTGTTATTACCGACACTAACTAAATTGTTAACTATGCAATTTAGCCAGCCTTTTGACAAATCAGCTTATACTCTGCCTTGCTGTTTAAAAAAATTAGAATGAACATCAACTTCAGTATTTGTTAGTGCTTGGGTATCGTGTGTGCTTGCTGAACGTACTGATATTGATAAGTGCAGAACAGTTTTACCATAAATAAGCGTTTACATCTGCTGTACTATGTTTATTTACGGATTATAATTTTCACTTCTAAAGTTTTCGTTCGGAATTGGTAAGTTCTCATTCATATATCGCTATTGCTTCTAATCACGCTTAAAATACGCCGAGTGAATTGTCAGTGATTAAAATTTAAATACGAGATACGGGAACAATGATGATAAGTCAATACCAGACTTTGAAAATAAACACGTATTTATTGCGATTTTTATTGGTATCTTGCGAATTGTGGTTGAGCGCATCAATGTGGCGCGATTTTCATTAATCTGTTATTACGTTGTATTATATAGACTGCGTCATATATTAACTTAATATGTTGTATTTATCTTCAATCATGTATTATATTTTAATACAACTTTTCTTTAATTGCTCGGTTATTATTTTAGGTAAACTTCTAATCATAAAAGATGGATTTTCAGTAAACTTCAAAAAGTTTTTAGTCACATTTTATTTTTTAAAAACATGCAATATTACATGCACAGGATCTAATGCATATGGGAATCCATACTCCATCCATATTACAGCCAAGTTCGAACTGTCGAATAGGGTAATTAGCTCGATTTGAAATGCACAGGACAAACGGGCAAACATGGAACTTCCATTAGCATCATAGAGTATTTATGGATTCACGGGTCATATAAAATTTTAAATATGGTGAAATATCAAACTGTCAGAGCCCATTACGTATAAGCGGTACTTGATTTAAACAAAACGTATAAATTGCATTTATATTTTAAGGGAAGTTTTGAGCTAGCGTATGTTGACAACACTAATTCGAAATGAGATGTGGAATAATAGATGTGTGCGGTCTGCAAAGCTAATGTACTGTCCAGATATATGTTATTTATTGCTTATAGTTAATATTCTGCTGCTTAAATATCAACATCTGTTGCATGTAATTGAGTTATTTTCAATTAGAATTCCCCAATCATTTAGAAAAAAATAAGATCACAGTTATTTTCTATTATTTAATTATTATAATAGTGTTACGCTTCGTAAAATGTAGTCAGTAGGTAGTTGAAACTGACAGTAAGAAGTTCTGGAAGCAAAACCTAAATTGGCATACAGTTTTTTTGAAATGCTATGAAACATTTGGTTAAAAAAATAGAGCGCCGCATATTGTGGTAGAGAACAAGGACATTTTCAACTGCAACCTTTCGTGATAAGTGGATAGCGTGAGGTCCAATGTATTGGCCAGCCGGATCACCAGACTTGTCACCTGTAGACTTGTTTGTGGATTTGGATAGAAACTTGCGGGCTGAATCCAAAAATCGTATAATTGACGCAGCAAATTGTTTGCGCCTCCAGCTGAACGAAATTCAGATTTCAGAGGCAGCATTCCATGTAGTATATTCCATAAGTAGTTGCGTGTATAGAAAACTATGGTTATCACTTTAAACCGTCTTTTAGTTTTTCATCTTTTTCGTTTTTCAATCTGTTAATTAAATAACTTTACTCTCTTTGAAACAAAGGCGTATCAACTTACAGTTGATAGAAACTTTTTTTATGAAAAGTAGCAATTAGGTCATATGGACTGTTATCTCAGTCTCTGCTAAACTTTGTATAGTATATGCGAACTAACTTGGACCAGCATTAAAGTAAATCTGCGAAATGTATTTTAAAAAATGTGTTTTAATTAGTAATTTGATTTAATTAATTTAACTGATCTGAATATATTTAGTTTATTTTTCATTTATTTAATAATAATTTAATTTTTTTAATTACGTATGTTCAAGGTAAGTATGGCGACAAAAAATTAGGAATTGAAAACTTACGCTTACCTATTCATTACTATATCAGAATCTTCAGAACTTGAGAACCGGCCGGCCGCATATGGATTTTAGAAACACTTGATTATACCCCAATTTTTCGGTTTAACCAAGTAACTTCGTAAAGGCTATAGGTACATATGGAAACTTCAACTCAGCTAAGCCGCTGAAAAGATTGAAAATATCAAAGATACGGCTTCTTTTAAATATGAACTTGTACACAAATGTTTTGGTTTTTCTTAAACCAAATAAATTTGGTATTTGAAAAAATTGCAGTTATCATGAAAAATTGACGGGTCTGAGTAATACCTATGTGAGTCGCAGATAAGTGGAATTGCCTTTTACTTTTGAAAATTCGTAACTCTCTCCTCTCTTGAGGTCCGTTTGAGAACCGATTTAAAAGATAGAAGCCAGGCAATGTCTAGACTGGAAAAAGTAAAATCAGATTCACGTTATCATATTGTTGATTATTTAGAAAAGAATATATCGCAAGATAAAAGACCACTTGTCGACATGTAGTTTAGTTGTAAATATAGTAGATGAACAATAGGTCTAGAGTGCTGATTGCAGTTTTCATTAAGCAGAATATCCCGTTTATAAAAATGTGTAAGAGTGAATGATGGTTTATTTAATCCGCATGCAACTTTGCTAAATCAACCAAAACAGCCTTGTCCAGTAATTATAAACTTTTTCCTTCTTCTTTGCTTATAAAAAACGTATTTTGTCTTTTCAGATTTCGCCGTTAATATTGCTGCGATATGAAAGCAGCGGCATTATAAATATACCTAGTTATTGCTTAAATAAAATAAATTTTGTCATTCGACAAAATATGGACGCTCAAGAACAACCGGAAAAGGTGATCCAACATCTCCCCATTGATGATCCAGCTATGGCCCAAAGAAAGAGAAGAAATAAAATTAGATCTTTGGTTGCGTACTGGATTTTGGGATTGTGCAACAACTATGGATATGTAGTTATGTTAACTGCCGCTGATGATATAATTGGAAATACTGAATCTGATGTGAGTCCACAAGTAATTAAAAATGGTAGCAAAATCAATGGAATCGATAAAATCTACCACACGTGTATCAAATTTCATCGCGTGATCAACAAATTCAATGCTTTAAAAGTCGCGTAATTTTGCGCAACCAATTATCGCATTACATTTTAATTAGCCACATTCATTGGCTGGTAAAAGCAAATGTAAAAGCTGTTTTGTTTTGGATTTTTTTACTTTATGAATAGATTTGTTATTTTAAAACTTTTGATTTAATGACTTTTACCCGATTTTAGAGCACAAGCAAAGTAAGAGAAAACTGCAAATATTTGTCAACTGGAGCTATCTTGTTAGCTGATATATTGCCCTCGTTACTGATTAAATCTGTTGCACCTTTTATACCCTTTATAGTGCAGTAAGTACATTTTCAACTAATAAATCAGTTCAAATAAAAGACATACTTTTTTGCAGTTTAAGAGTAGCATTATGTGTCTTGCTTTCTGCCTCTGGGTTTATTGCTGTAGCATTGGGTGGATCCCTTTTTATATCAATTTTGGGAGTGATTCTTACCTCATTTTGTTCGGGACTAGGAGAGGTCACTTACCTTCAGTACAGCTCCTTTTACAAAAAGTAAGTCTTGTGCATTATCCTTTTTTAAATTCCAAAACGTTTTTTTATTTAAAGAAACGTTGTTTCGGCATGGAGCTCAGGAACCGGAGGGGCAGGCGTAATAGGTGCGCTTTCTTACACACTTTTGGAACGAATTGGTATGCAAACTACATTGCTAGTGATGCTGATTATCCCAGCTATGACCGCAATTTCGTGAGTAATGTAGTATTACATTCAAAGTATACAGTATCAAAAATCTCTTTGCTGCTTCGAAAAAATGTATGTAGTAAAAGGTCCTTAAAACAACTTATTTGCAAATTATCGATGTACCGAAGGTATTCATTTTTTTTTCAATAACTTATTTATAGTTATATTATAATATTCATTAATATCTTAATGAAAGTTTTATATTTTTGTATGCAATTTAAATTAATAAAAATGTTAGTAATTTAACGAACCATGAAACTGAAATCTAAATATTGCTGAATAAAATGCTACAATGCTGATGATAGGAGCTTGACAATGCGCCAAATGGGAATAATGTGATTCAGGAATTTACTGCGGAATTTCTAAGATTATTTTGAATATTTTTAATAAATTCGTCAATTATGAGTTTTCTAAATGGGCAATTTTTCGATTTCGTTGTTGGGTACTCATAAATTGTCACTATTAGATACATATTTGATACCTAAGTGGATGCATTTGTTGCAAAATGTTGCAGTTCTAATAATTTGGAAATTATTTCTTTAATATTCCTTATTCCACAAAAGATTGATTTTTATGCGCGGTCATTAAAAAATGTCTAAGTATCTTGTTTTTACTATAAAAACCGGTTCTAATACTTGAACTAAATATTAATGAGTTAAAAAGAATACGTGACTTACAGTAAAAATTAATTTCTCACTTTACAAATGTCGTGAGCACTGTACGTCTTTAGGCAATTTTAAATTAAAAAGTTAGCTTAAGAGCTTAAAAACGAAAAATTTATTTTATTTTAGGAAGTATTACCACTCACCGGTAACTCCCAGCCTTGCAGTTTCTTTATATTTAGTTACAATGGGATCACTTAATCGGTAAATTGAAATGTGCCTAACTTTGAAGATTGAAAGATAAGCGTATTGGACTATATTAAAGAAATACATCACATATGTCTAAATATTTAGAATGCAAAATTTAAAAATTAGCGAACTGATTCAACAAATCCGGAATTAAAAATTTACAAATCACGATCTAAAGTCAACACCCATAAACAGTAGATAATAACAAATAGTTCAAAATAATGTGTTTTTTAATTTAAGAATATTAGAATCCAATCTCCCACATCCATTGATATTTTTTCACTTGCACTTTTACATTTCGTTGAATTAGTTTTTACGTGGGTTTCTCCAGACTTCCCTGAAATTTACCAACAATAACTGGCGAAAAAATAGTAAATTAACACCTTTCTGTCTAGATTCTGGATTATTTTACCAAAGCCATCCGAAGAAGATATAGCTGAAGCTCTAGAAATTCAAACGAAAATCAACGAAGATGAGTTGAAAAGTCCGAAAGAATCTTTCATTAAAAAGATAAAACTGCTACCAGGTCTAATGAAATATATGATCCCGTTTGGTCTCGTGTACCTATTTGAATACTTTATTAATCAAGGAACGGTAAGCATATTCTGGACGCCTATGAAGATGAAAAGGCGACTTTATTGTTCTTGTTTGCAGTTTGAAATTATCCAAATCCCCAATTCTTTGATAGCTGAATCATCACAGTATAAGTGGCTACAAGTGACTTACCAAGTAGGCGTATTTATATCCAGGTCATCTGTAAGCTTTTGGCATATAAAACAAACATGGATTATGGCAGTATTTCAGGTATAACTCATTTCATAAGCAAGGTATAACAGTGTGCATGCACCAAATTCATATCTTCATTTTCAAAAGTGGCCCCTTTTTACCTCAAAAAGAAGAATCTTGTTCACAATTGGTCTTTGCATCCTGTACATCAATGAAGCCCTTTTAGCAATAAGAAAGTCCATATAGCTAAAGGAACAAATAACAATGAATACGAAACATTTAATAACAATCAAAGCGTTGTGAGCATCCGCCATCTTCTCCAAGGTCCATCTTAGTATCTGCAAATCTTTTTAATAGACAATTAATATGAAGGTACTTTTACATATTGGTAATCCATTATTTTTCAGCTATTTGGAAAATTCCGTATCAGGATCACACTAGTACTAAAAAGTATCAATTACGGATTTCCAATAAAGCACAAATTTTAGACAAATAAATTAGCCGTTAATCCGTACAATACACTTCCTGATGCCTTTTACATTAAGCAAAGTTCACTTAAAAATAGATGAAAATCATATATTTGGAACAGACTGTTCAAATACAGTATGTTCAAACATCATGAGAAACTCGAAGCGTCGAAATTTCAAGTTTCCTATTTTTATTACTTGTGTTTCTTTAAAATAATTTTTGTTTCAGGCCATAAATGTAATAATTTTCACAACGGAAGCTATATACTATTATATACCAAGCTTCTATATAGTGGTGGCTTTGGTTTTATGGGAAGGACTCCTAGGAGGCTCTTCTTATGTAAACACCTACTATAGAATAGCCCATGAGGTAAGTTCACTAGTGTTGAATTAATCACTAATTGTGGTTTCCAAATCATTAATTGCAACCGGAAGGTAAAATAAAGGCACATTTTTGACGGCTTCCATTTAGAATGCGTTAAAGTCGGATTTAGATTTTATGGTTTAATAGAGACGTATTTTTTTTGTCGTAGCTTAAAGCATAAATAAAAATAAAATGTGTGATACAATAAAGCGTACTCTTATGAATCATTGCAACTTTACATAGCAAAGGATTTTTCTATTCTACAAACGTTAATACGCAAATTAAAATGTACTATAAATTAAAAAAAATGTTTTTCAGGTTAAACCGGAGGATAAACAATTTTCTATGGCGATAACGGGATTCGCAGATAGTGCCGGGATAGCATTGGCAGGCATGTTTGCTATTTTGGCACATAATGCAATCTGCAATACTCCTCAACCCAGCTAGTATTACATAAGTTATTATCCATTCACATTTTTGTCCATGTTTCACGAGTAGTAGAAAATAAATATACACTATTTTTATTAATTTCTTTATTGGCACATACCGAATTACATTCATACCTAGATTAAAAAATATGGCAAGTTCAAAAAATAGGAACCTTAATTTACCGTAGATTAAAAATATCACACAACAAAAAAAATTTTGAGATCTGGACATATTCAATCCGAGTATTAATATTTGAGAGACTAGTTTTAATTTAAAACATTGCTAACCTATCAAGTTGATTTTGTTTGTCGATAAAAAATATAAACAACAACGTATTAAAACCGATGCAAAACAAAAAATAGAAAAGCTTAGATTAACATTAAAGTCAAAACGAATAAATACAAGCGATTTAACGATTATGTAAATTACATCGCTTTCTATGATAATGATGTAATAAATAATGACGAAGTAGCTAATGCATCCTTATATAAAAGTGGCACATAATTTGGCAAATATGTCGTTTAAGTCTACTAAGTGGTGTTATTTAGATTGTATATATGCTTAATATCTCTCACGTAAATGCGATCAGTCAACGTAACAAAGGCATACGAGATACGTCTTATTATGTTAATACTTAGAAGGAAACGATACCTGAAAGGCATTACTAGTCAAAAACAAAATTGCACAATTCATAAATACCCTTTTAAAATACATAAACATACTAATAAAAATACTAGTAAAATACATAAACTAAACAAATACTGGCTTGCTTCAAATCTACAATAGATCATCAAAAAAAATCAAACATATACAGAATGAAACAAGAATTGCGGCTAATTCGAGAAAATACAAACAAATAGTTATTGTCAGAAAAAATAAAATTGAACAAATTGTGGTTGTACAATTTGTTCAAATTTACTGACTGTTTGCAACTGATCTAAAAACATTTTGTTTGCACTACAGCTTTGCCCCCCTCCTCATATTCTTGCTTGGATACCCACATTTGTTGAAAAGACCCTAGTGAACTTAAAATAGAACCTCCCGTCCAAGCCCCGAATCTTCGTTCTGTTGCTCCTGGTGCACTAATTACTTTTAATCGCATGCTCTGTAATTCAAATACAAAAATGGTTAACAGGAATTTGATTCGTACATAAATTTATCATCTTACAGGTGGTGTTTTTGCGGCAAGGTCTCTGGTTAGTCTTTCGGTAAAACCCTGAAGACTAGAATTTCCTCCCGTTACAACAACATTTCCATACATAGACTAAAATATATTCAAGTCATAGATTTTTAAGATGAATAATATATCTATAAATCTCACCGGTCGGATATCGATATCACACATTCCCACACTAGTCGTAACTAAAGATCCTACTCCCAAAATGGGTTGAATACCAGCTTTCGCCCCATTTGAAGGATTGAAGAGGGGCTCAGGAATTTTAAACCTTTCTATAGCAAAGTCTTTGTGAAACCCATTAGGAAACTCGTAGTGAGTGGTTGGCATTGTTTTTACAATATCTTCATCATATGAGCTGTCGGCAACTTGAAGAATGGTTGCCTGGAAGTCCTGCATCACTTCCTACAAATCCAGGACCGTTTAGAGGAGCTTCGAAATATAATACTTACTTCTTTATCCAAACACTTAAAAATTAATTAATTTAAAAACAGTATGCGTTACAAATGTGAAAGTTTAACTAATGCCAATGATATCGAAACAAAACCAGTAATAATACGATTTGAGAATGTTTAATTTATTAACGACTGAGCAACGTACGTTCTTGATGCAAGGGGATCTGGATACCATTAGACATTAACAAATAACTTTTTATGTATAGTTCAGAAAATCATGAAAGGAATAACCCAAAACTATTTAATTGGTAAGTCAACTGAATGAAGTACCTTTATCATATAGGCAAACCACGAATCCGTTAAATTGTAAGGAACGTCCCGTCTTTGCCAGTTTGGAGCTTCCTCCGCTCTTCCTACTTCTTTCGAAGCGACAAAGCTGGGCGGTACTAACTCCACGCCTCTTTCTTGCAAATATATTCTGCATTGTTCACTTAAGTAGTCGCCTCCAACGGGAGATTTTACAACCGCTTGAGTTAATACATAGCTGAAATTTTGGTTAAAATCTTTCATAAGTTATTAATTAATTAAAACTACACCGTTTATGTGTTACAAGTTAAGCTTTTCCTAGCTTGAGAACATAGCTAGCTGCTCCCTAAATATAATAAAATGCTGCCGGATGAAATGTTTCATGCAGTCTCATAAATAGCAAATAATTCTTAACGTATCTCCATTGATTGCTTACTACTCCATACATTGGAGACAGAAGGATTGTAAAATACACTTTTATATTTACATAATACTTCAAAACCAATAATAAATAAGCACATTTTATACTTGTATCAAACAAATATTTATCTTCTTACCCATCATGAACGGGAACAGCTGAAGTATGTGTGGCCCCACTATCCAATACTAAGCAGGTGGGCCTTCCATTAGCAAAAGCAGCTAAGCTTGCGTTTTTGGCCAAATATGCTGCAGGAACGCCGTATTTCTCGAACATTAATTCAGCCATTTCTTCTCTTTTAGGGGTAGTTATCCAGGGAGGTTCCGTTAAAAGAATTGGGTGGTCTCTAGGGACAGCTCGTAGGGCGGAATAGTAAATATAGTCCAAGAAATTTTCAAACATGTCCCAATTTTCAACCATGCCATCTTTTAGAAATGTACTCAACTCCATTTCTAAAGTGCAAAAGGTCACTTATAGCCGAAATGCGCATTAACATAGTATATGCGAAATGAAAGTATCATATACAATTGATTGTTTCATTTTGCAAAAAAAACATATTTTGAATTGGAAGAATGGCTAATAGTCTAGCCAGATTAGACTTTAAAAGGCCTGCCACTAAATAGATGAAGATAAAGGGCGAAAACCCGTTTTTTGCGCATTACTTTTGAACCGGTCGCGCTATTGGAAAAAAGTTTAATATTTTTTTTCGAGTATTAAAAATTCGTACAATATAAGACACTTTTAACTAAATTAAAATCCGTCCATTTGCTTACTCAAAACGAAAAAAGCCGCCGATTATAGCGTTTTTTTTTTAATTTTCTGTAATACATTTGGTTTTGCTTCAAAAAATCGGACTAAAACTTTTTTGGAGATCTTTGTACACTGGGGAGGTGGAAAGGAGGAATGAACAAAAAGTTACGAACATTTGTAGTTAAAAAAAACTTATAAAGTATACAAAGACATTGAAAAAAAGTTATAGTGATATTTTTTGAAGCAAAACTAAATCAATTATAGAACACTTAAAAAAACGATAAAATTTGGGGCTTTATTCGCTCTTTAAGTAAACAAATGAATGGATTTTAATTTAGTTTGTCTTATATTGCAGGTATTTTTAAAACTACAATTTCTTTAATTATTTCAACAATGTTGACAGCCGGAAATCGCGCTCAAACTTTTGTCCCAATATTCGGACATCCTTCCAAACAACTTCCAATAAACTTTTACCTTCATCTATTTAGTAACCGGAAAAAATCTAATCCGACTGGACTATAATATGTGGTTTATGATCTTAGATTGATCCATAGCGAGTTTACGATGGCAAAACAGTTGATATGTAGCATATAAAATACTCAACATTTAATCTACTACTAAACTAGCAAGAAGGCGATAATGACGAAGAACTGAAAGTTGAAGATATCGTGTTCGAAGAAAGTGATTTGTATGATAATGCAACATATGTGACGAATGAGATAAACAAAATCCATGTTGAGGAAGACATTCTTCTAATGATGGAATTTGGATGTCAATACCGACAAACAGCCGCGAGTTTATAAACCAAGCGTACAAAAATGTATTTCCATCTTCCTGGCTAAGATATAAATTGAATACCAATCAAGACTGGTTCAATTTAGGAAAAACTAAAAAAATGTAATCACAGAACTGAATGTTACACTAAATACACAATAAGAAAAAACCTTTGAAGCCAGAAGAACCCACTTTAGCTCTTATTTTCTTCTTCCCATAACCGAAAATCACTTTGGGGAACTAATTTAAACTCTTTCTGAACATCTTCAAGCAATCTATGCTCGATCTTATGATGTTATGAATTATGAACATTAATTTACTAGTAATGATAATAAATTTTATGACAGTTGTGGCGTTTATATTAATTAATAATTTTTGCAAGATCCGATGAAATTAAAACCACCTGTTAAAAATTAAATTATTATTAGTTTATTCTAGCAAAAATACTATTTTGTCATTAGTCACTATTTGTACAAATCTTCTGCTATACTGTAAATTTCCCAACGATTGTGTAATAGTGAAGCGTTTTATGGGTATAACTTCAAAGTTATAATATGGAAGTATGATAGTCACTACTATGGAAACAACTATGATTTCAATCTAATGCATGTAAATGGTGTGGATTATTTTCCGCTAATGGTTTTGCTTGAATTAGAACATTAAATAGGAAGACGGTTCTAAAAAATGTACCACTGAGAGCGGAGTTCTAGACAGTAAACTGAAGGACTTTGGAGTCATATTAGTGGCACCCGTATATCTCAATAATGCGCGCATTTTATCTTTAGACTGCCTGTAAAAATTGTGTACCAGATTGCAAATTACCGACAAAAATTGTAACGAAGAGAAAAACATCCAAAAGTAACTTCGACTGCAACCCGATGCAGGATGTAGGCACTTTATTTTCAAATCCTTGGTTATATGCTACAATAACAATTACGTATATTCCGGACGAGTTGAAAACGTTTAGTGTCCATTTCGATTTTCCTTTACATTAGTTCTGTTAGAAGTTGAATTACGATATTTTTGTTCGTGCCGTATACGTTTTAGTAATTCTCCAATGAATCAAAAATCTTAATAAATATATAATACATTTTGTCTTTTCTGTCGTATTGTCTAAATGCATGATTCTGCGACATAAAGATAAATTAACTAATATTGATAATTTGTGTACCTTATACAATATATAAATGTAGCTTATACATTTGAAGAATTAGAACAGGGTGTTTCTAAAAAGTGCAGCAAAACTGCTACCACAAATCTCGGAGCTCGCAAAAATCGTTTTCATCTTTCAAATACAACTTTTGTGATATATCAAACAGAAAGCTAACGAAAAATAGAACAATTAATATGTCGCATGTATTGGTTTGGTTTAGTTTCGGTTAAAAGCAGTTATTTTTAATTGCTTTGTGTTGTTGATATATCCCGAAATAAATACATAGTTTAATCCTGATTCCTGATAAATCAAAAACGGCTGCAGAAACCAACTTTTACCAGGTCTACTATGTTCCAGTAAATATGTTGAAGAATAACAATCTTTAGGTAAAAGAGAAATATGGCATGGCTTATAAGTTATTTCGGTATAAATGTAAGCAAAGTACTGCATGAATTGCCCTCCATATTTTATATGGATATTTTTTATATCTTTTACTTTTGGATTGAGATACGTTGGATTAGACTCACATCATATTTCAGCCTCAGGAATTTGTAGTAACATTTTTCCAAACTTTTGGAGTGGTCTAGACAGGGTGTCCCACTCGGAATCACCGCAATTCATATATGGCAAACAATAATTAGGAAAAATTTGATTGGACCGTTTTTGATTTATTTGAGATTTTATGTCCAAAATTACAATTGCAGGCACTAGAACAATTATTAATTTTTGCTATAGGGAATTATGTGTTATTTAAGTTGAGTGGCATTATTTGTTGAAAAGGACTAACTTTAATAGAATTTTGATAACTATTAATAGAAAGTGTAAAAAAATTGTTATCAATTTTTCAAATGGAAATGCCCCACTGTGATAATTTTATCTAATTTAGTATTCAAAATAAAGGTAAGTTTGTGTAAGGTTGTGTGTTTAGTGATTAGTTAAAAGTGATTAGTTTTCGAAATTTTATCAATTTAAGGATTCCATATGGATTTTAAATTTTACTCACTTTGTTAACAAGTTACGCATAACGTATAAAGTTAACTGATAATAATAATTAAAGATACTGCAGTTTCGTCGTGGCAACTGAGAGTGACTGGATTTTTCAAAAACTAAACACTTTTGGAGCAAACAATATTACACAAACTTACACTTATTCTTAATACTTAGGGTTAAAATCTTCAGTCATTTAAAAAAATTGATTTTGGTCGGTTTTCTCAATTTATTTTAGATACATTTTTGTATCAACGTTGCATCAATAGTTTTCAAAATGTTATCTTCAATTTTTTTTTTAGATTGATTGAATTGAATGAATTGAAACCTATTGACTTCCGTATACTGTCCAATTTTCGAATTTCCCTTAGTTATACTTTGCCATATATAGACCGCGGTGGATAAATTCTCCACTAGAAAACTAGGAAACTAGATTCGAACAACTATATATTCGAAACAAATATCCATGTCTGTAATGTTTAATAATAGTGTTTTTGTGTTTCGTCTTTTCTACTATTTTGTATGTATCTATTTTCATTTTTCTATTTCTATGTAGTTACACATATGTATATCCGCAATAGCAATGAAAGGGACGAAATCAGTAGCACAGCCATCTGCACTCTGTTTATTCACAATCTATTAATGCAGCAATATATTAATACAACTTGTCTAACATATTGCCGTGATAATCACGTCTTAAACGTCTTAACGTGATAAAATTGGTGACTGATGGTTTTTTCACGTGATTATCACATTCAGTGTGAGCGGGGTTTCATTTAATTTGGCAGATACGACACTGCTATTGTAAAAGTTAGTTATTTAAATTGTGTCATTTGTATGCATAAACTAATCCTACAGTGATATTCAAATTTTCCATTATTTTTTCCAATATTTGCTTTTTTATTGCTTAGAAAAAAAATCATTTTTTCTCATTGGATAACCATTAGGTACTTCAAAATAACTGCAACTTAGTCATTTTTTTGCTCACCCAGTAGACATAAAAACTCACCTGGTCTCCAAACATGTATTGCACATAGTCCAATGTTATAGTGTGTAACAGGAACTGAGACTTCATCTTCTGAGTCCAGCCAAACACCCACTGTTGTAGGTATGTCCACTTTGGGACTATCTTCACCTGCGTATCCAGCTCGAACACTATTGTGTCCAATATCAAAAACCAACGCTCCAACTTCATCTAAAATAATAATTAACTGGAGTTTCATTTAGTGTGGAAATGTTTATTGTGGTAAAATGTATCTATATCTATGTACAAACATATAATAAAACAAAACTAATTTTCTATGAAACATTCATAAAGCTGACTAAATATAGCGAACCATAACATGTACCTACACACTGTACTTGGAGTAGACCAATAAAAAAATTACCTTCAAATGTTTTGCAATGAAAATACAAATAAGCAACATAAATAAAAATGTTTGGTTATAATATAAATAAATGAAGAATGTTTGAATTTACCACCACCATATACTGCTCCACTCATTTTTATTAGCAGGATATATTTTTTTGTTCCATTTAATACATTTTTGAAATCGCATAAAACGCGCAAAAATACACCGGCGATAGTGTACCAAAACAAGTGCAGATCTATAGCACACAATAGCACAGAACACAATCCAGCCTTTAGAACGTTAATCGAATCTCTACTTTAAATTACATTAACAAACTAGTTGTCGTTTAGTGTGTGAATAATAGTGATTTATAATTTTACTATTTTACTGAGGTTACCAATTTATTCCGGAGAGCAAAGAATAATTTTCCCGAAATGGCCAATCGGTTCTTTCGTGATTATTCGTCGAATCTTTGAGGAGGGACAGTGGCGCGAAATTCAAAGTTATGAACAGATTTATCGAAGTTGGTACAAATCTGATATGGTTATAGGCAAAATGTTAAATAAAACTCAATTTTCAGAATTACTGCCGTTTATGCCCTAAAGCATTTTGCTGCAAAAATTGTCGTTGTAAGCACGAAACTGATTATCACAGCGTTATATCCCAGTGTGATATATGCATATACGGAACATTCGTTTTTGAAAATATTGATGAGAATATTCTTCAACACATCAAGGAAACACATTTGCCTTTAAACTGCCTTTATTGCAAGCGAGTGTTCAGCTGCATAGAAGAAATTATCCAACACAAAAAATGCCCTGTTCATTATAAAAGCGATTCACCAAAAACTCCACTTTTTAAGCCTCCAGAGATCTTAATTTCAGCTGATGATCAGGACAGTCCGATTCTTCAAGAACTACAAAGAAATCAAGCCTTAAATTTCATATTCAAATTAGCAACGAGTACCCCGATGCAAAATACAGAGACAGAAAACTTTCACAAAAGCAAAGATGATGCTATTACACCATCTGAACGTTTTCAAATAAGTAATAAGAGCATAATTAAAAAAACGCAAACGTTAAGAAAATCGGATGAATCTTCTAAAAGAAGGGTTACTTTTAGTGAAACTACTGGAACAACCCATTCAATAGAGTACAACAGCCATGGTAAGGTCATCTACGATTTTAATGCCCTTTTCTTATAATATTTTTATTTTGCTCAGATGGCATTATTAATAATATTTTTGTAACATTTCAAAACTTAAACTGCATAAAGGTGCATTTATTTCGCAAACATATCTATGTGGTAAAATATTCGGATCTTTTGAGAATGATTAAGAAAGATCAACTTAAATACTTAAATGTGTACCTACATTTAAAAATATAGTTTTGTCACAGCTTAAATATCATGATATATAAGCTGTGGTTTTATATCATCCACTCACGATCTACATTTCCATGTTTTTTATAACAAGTCACTAAGCATTTCTTAATTAAAAATTTAATTTTCTGTTTAATTTCGAAAAAAAATATTTTTGCACATTGCATTATATTTGTATACATCTGTTGCATTTTTCGAGTGAAAGATCGAAAAACCCCGTTATGCATTTTGCGAAAACATCAGCATCAATAATTATCAAATCGACGCTGAATATTGATAAACAATCGTTTGACTATTAGTTTTCTCTTATTTATTTTTGAAGTTTCTAAAGTAAACATCGACTAAACTGTGGACACGTTTTATACACAAATAAAACATTTATTTTATTTTATACAAAGTCCGATTTTTTAAGGTTTTGCATACAGATATACTATAAGAGATCAAAATGCTTATAAAATAAGCAGCAAAATTGGCTTGATATAACACAAGCCTTAAACAGTAATAGAATAAGAAATTATGATCCGGTATATTACTGAAACTGTTTAACCTACCGCGTAATAAATTAATGAAAGCTTCATACTCTAACTACCTTCAAGAGCTATAGATAAAACACTGCAACTCTAGAAATTTCAAAAAATGGTCACCCATTTTCATTGTGCCTCAATTATCTTCTAATTATTCAAAAATAGTACAGAATAGTTTCATAAACACGTTTGTTTTGAAGTATGTAAGATGAAAAACACATCCAGAATAAATCATTTATTAAGTACGAGTAGGTACTACTTTGTCATAAAAAGAGACGATTTGAGCTGACTTTTATAAAAAAATTGTTTGCTCCTCCGCTATTAATTATTAAAGATCTGTGGGTTTTGGCAAAATATCTGGCAATTTAAATCGGGCAAATATATCGGGCACATAAAAGTTTATGTTGCTTTCGTAAGACTCATGTTTCTATGAAACAATAGCGTTCAGCCATAAATTCTTGAGTATCTTGGATAAAAAACTTAAACAATTCTTATAGTTGCTGATTCTTTTAATAGCTCAAATCAATTCATTGAAGTTTAATTGACTCACTATTCCTACTAACTACATTATCGACCTATTTGTTAAATATCGGAAGAATCATAGATTTAGCGGAGCGGAAAAATTGTATATTTTGTTACTCATTTACAATGTATTTTTTTAATTATTATTTTAAAGCAACGCTTTTCTTAATTCCGTCGGATAGATGGATTTTTGACCATGCACTTACGAGGCACTCTGTATATTTAAATTTTGTAGCATTTTTCAGATCAGTTTCAAGAATCCAATTTTACATAAAATTCATGAAAAAATTAACAATTTTGAGATTAAAAAGGAGCAGTTTCGTACGTTTCCACACTAACGTTTACTATGGTCGACTGCCAAGAATTTCTAGCAGTTATTTTAGAAAATCAGCGTCAGATGATCCATGTTAATTCATCTTCTAGATGATTTATCTCCTCGTATATGAAATATAGCTAACAATGAAAGTCGAACTTAGGTTTGCATGGTATTTTTGCATTGTCAAATCAGTTTCTAGATTCCTAAATTTCATTAAAAAATAAAACAATTTTGAGAAGGAAAAGCAGAAGTTCCTTACTTTTTCACACTATGTTTACTACTGGCGTATGTAAAATTATGCGAACTGTTATAGGAGAGTATCAAAGTCAGAATTGTTGGCTGTTAATTCAGTTCCGATTTGTTTTAACCCCTCGTATATGAAAATGTAGCTGACCAGATCAACTGAGCTAATGCGAGCGTCGTAAAAAATTGAAACTAAGGTTGAACTGACCAGCTGAAAATGATAAATGGCTCAGTTATTAACTTTTTCAAATACCCATATTAAAATAATTTATGCCTCGTTAATAAAAACTGGAACGTTAAAAACAGTCGGACCTATCTAAAACTCATCTGTTATTTTTTTTAAATGCCGAATTAATTTTTACGAATAACAAAATCAAACATTTCAATTAAACTGAAATATGCAATACTATATCCAAATAACAAATAAAATTATTTGCGATATATTCAACATGCAACAACAGACATTAAATAAGTTATATTTAAATGGAAGAGAACAGTTATTGGATGTTTTGGATATTCAAACGAAATAGTAAAGTTAAAAAGTCTAATCCTATAGATGTAGAATTCGTACTGAGCGTGATATTAATTGGTTTTCAATTATTTAAAAAAGTATTACTTTTTTAAAGACTGTTTCATAAGTACAAAAAGTGCTAAATTAACTAATAAATTAAGCATAGAATTCGGCAGGTAGTTTCAAGGATATATTATTCAACAAATCTAAAAACGATTCAAAACCCTTTCTATTTGACAATGGGATTGATGTATTCCCGTTTTACCTGTAATTTTCGGTTGTTAATTTTGTTATATTTATTTTATTTTGTTTGCCTTTTATCAGCTTCTATCAGCAAATACAATCAGAACTACTTAGATTAAATACCAGCTCTGTTTTTTCTGTATCCTCTCTTTTGTTCTTTCTTCGAATGTAATTAACCTTGATTTATTGTTCTGGAATTACTTGAAAGACCGTAATGAGGAGAAAATGAAGTCGTATAAAAGTATTTATCATATCAGTTATACCTTTTCCTGTTAAGTAAGTGAACAAACTTACATTATTCCTAATACAGCCTATACAGAATACAGCGCTAGAAGCAAACCATGTCAGAACACCAAGAGATGTCTAATCCGAACGAATCAATTTTCTAAATTTATTTTCAAAAATTTAAAACAGCTTCAATATTACATTACATACTTTCAGAAACCGAACAAACATATTCAAGTAAAAATCCACATATTCTTGAGGACGAATCGGCCAACACTAGAAGTCTATCTACCCCAGGTAAGGAATATAATTTCTACTCAATATCTCGTAGTTATTGCTTTTGTTATTCTCATTCAACTGGATATTGGGTATTGCGTGATTTTTGCGCCATTTCTAGATATGGCAATAAAAGCAATTCCTGCTGATGAGTTTTATAGTGCAAAATCCGAAATCAATCAGTCATCTGTAAAAGTACAAAAATCAAGATATGACGGTAACAAGACGTCGGTGATGAATCTAGAAGATATTTCTACTCCGGGTAAATCATAAATTAATTTGAGACAATTGTGTAACTAAGTGATTTCACAAAAATGTATCAATTAACTATGGCTATTAACGATCTTTTAGTTTGCATCCCAAAGCAATCTGAAATAGTGCGTTCACAACTGGATATCTATAAAGATGTTAAAGTAAAAGATGCTGGTGCGTCCAACCAAATACATAGCGAAAGTGATAATGACCTTCCTTCTGAAGTCAAGCAGATAATTAGAAATAATAACGGATCAGAAATGGAAATTTGCTCACCAAGTAAGCCAAGATTATATTAATATTGTTAAATTGCCAATAGATAGTATATTTTCTTTCGTCACATTTGCGGTATAAAGGGTAACAATATAGGTGTAGCACAATATTTTCGAATGTTTTAAGGCATTGCTTAGAATTGTATTTCTATGTTTCATATCGTGTACAGAGTTGGTCCGTACAAATGTAGTCTAATATATAATGTACAAGTCTAAATTGACAGCATCTGGTGAGTTTATTGTTTGAGATACGCAATAACTCCAAATACGAGAATTTAGCGACTACTCTTAAATCACCAGAAAGTATTTTTTGACCCGTTGACAGACTTTTCTCTTGTGATTCCAAGTTTATATACTTTGATATTTGGTTCACGTGTTTTATTATTAAAAAATCGTGATTATAGTCTTACCAAATCCCAGTTGATCTTTCCAATTCTTATTTATATGACCTAACAATTAATTTACAGATTGAAAATTTACAAGTAGAGAACGTGTTCTTGGTCACTTTCGACTCATTTTCTGTAATATTCATCTAACTTCGATAAAGCATTACAAATAGACTGGGGATGGTTATTCAGAGGATCAAAAGTGCTTTGGATTTGTGCTCTTAAATCCTGCAAGTATTCACTTCTTATTTGTCATATTGTTGAAATGCATACAAATTATGCACTGATAAAAAATATTTGGGGTGTTCCGTTCGAAACCCATCAACCTATCAACCAGATTTTTTTTAAACTGTGCCATGTACTTTTCTTTAACCGATTAATAGTTTCTGGCGATCCAAGAGTAGCTATATCTATAATTTTTGCTTAAAGTATTTTCGGCCCCCTAATAACAAACTATCCAAAAGCTGTTTAAGTATACGGACTAAGCCTCTTCAAATCCAAAGAACTTTCTAGCCTAAAAACATCCGAATCACCCAGTACATGTACATGTTGATCAAGTTGATTCCAGTTTCAGAAGAACAGAAAATGGTACCAAGTTTAAGTGCTAAATTTCCCAAAACCGAGCTGTCCGACTCTGAGAGCCTATATACGCCTAGTAAGTGAATAACTTTTACTTTAAAATATCTTGATTGCAAGAATTAAGTTAAATCCATATTTTTTCGGAATCCTTAGAGATGGTTTTACCAACCGAGACGTTTTACAGTGCAAAATCAGAGGTCGACAAGTCCCCTACAAAGAAAGAAAATTCAAAATCTGAACGCAAAAAAAATTCTTTGCTGCAATATGACGATATTTCTACACCCGGTAAGTCAAATTTATTACAGATGCATATACAGGTTTTTTTCATATTACGTGAAAACGTGTCACGCACATTACAGATAAATTTAAACAAAATAATGGGCGCTGTTAGGCTATTTCTCTAACACTTGCAAAACTATCAAACGAACATCTGAAACTATTTTAAAAACTTCGATTCCATAACTCAAGTTTTAAAGAAGTCCTTTGATTATAAACTTATCCTTTAATATTTCAACTCAAAGTGTGCAATATGCGAAACATCGGGAAATAGTTTTCCCAATTCAAGATCTTGCTGTAGAAGCTGCAATAATTTTATTGTAGTATGCGCTCCTAAGTCATATCAAGGAGTTTCCGCTAAAGTTGAAATTAAAGAAGCAGAAGATACCGAGTTAGATATTGCAGACCAAACAAGCTGCAAAAGTAGTTATTTCCTTGAAAAAGAAGCCGAACATGCATCTACTAATATTCACGAAATATCAATGGAATTGTGCTCGCCATGTAAGTATCTAATAATTACGTTTGTTCCAACGCATCATTCAGTACCTAAATGTGAAATTCATACCACATTGTATACTTTCTGAAGCTTGAGAAATGCTGCTAGAAATTTTCTTCAAAGTGAGTCAGTTTATATTTGTTTGCTAAACTTTCAGAAGAAGATTGATATGCATCACACATAGTAAATATCAATTCAAATTATTTTTCTTTATCTTTTTTCATCCTATTCTAGTTTCGAACTTTTTCTATAAGCATAAATGAAACTTTTCTAGAAAAGCTTCAATCAGAAAAAATCAAAAGTAGATGAATTTAGTCACGTGTTATTCTATTATTTAAAAATGTTTACATGTTTTCGTGATTAAATAGACATTGAAATATAATTACAGACCAAACAAGCTACAAACGCAGTAATTCCCTTGCAAATGAAGCCGAAGATGAAACTACAAATAGTCACGAAAAATCAACGGAAATGTGCTCGACATGTAAGTAATAATTACGTTTGCTCCAACGCATCATTCAGTATATACCGAAGTGCCAAATTAATAAAATATTATAAATAATAAAATCGATTATCAATTTATGTCTTCTGTTACTTTTCAAAAGGTGCAAATTAATGTTAATCTTGGACACAAACTTAAATATATAGCAGAAAGAAAATTATTGAGATTGAATGCAAATTTCTATACCTACTCAAAAAACTTTTGAGTAGGTATAGAAAAGAATTTTGATACATAAAATATAACAAAAAAATTAATCACAGATCAATTTTGTCATTCTTTCTCTCCGAAATTGACGCTTTAAATGAGATGTTGAATTTCATACAAAAAATGTTTTACATCGCTTGGAGGCCCGCAACTGAATGTGTCGATAATCAATGTTCATTCTTTTTGTCTGGTTTCTAAAAGAAATAACAAAATTTTAAAAAGAAAGTTAAATCAAAATATATCAAATCGGAACAGCCAGTAGCATAAAGGAACAAATAACTTAGGAATTCTAACTAATTTAATAACCCCCAGGAGACCGACCACTCGAACATACCTCGAACAAACGAAGTGTAATTAATATTAATTCAGAAGATTGATATGAATATCAACTAACATTTTTTTAAATTATTTTATTTTTCTTATTAATATATATATTAATTATCTTATTCTAGTTTCAAACTTTTTCTATAAGCAGAAATTAAACTTCTAGAAAAGCTTCAACCAGGAGAAATAATAATAAAAAAATAAAAGTAGATGAATTTAGTCACGTGTTATTCTATTATTTAAAAATGTTCACATTTTTTCGTTATTCAATGGACATTGAAATATAATTACAAACCTTAATAAAATCATAGCAGAAATTGGTGTGTCAAGATTAATAATCATTCTAGATTCAAAATCAACAAATGAACAAATAATTTTAATAGTCGTGTTCAAAAAGTCTCGCTAAAATGCAAAATATATATATAGGTACCCACGTATATTTCGGCATTTCCCAGGTTGAGAGGAAATAAATTAACTTTTTGATCTCTATTTACAATCTTGCATAACCGTACTAAGATGATTCTAGTAAGAAAAAATTTGTTTTTGCTAAATAAAACAGAAAACATTGTTAAATCTAAGAAGAGAGAAGAAGGAATGAAAATATATAGGTAACTAAAAAAATTAAATAAAACGACCTGTCAGGGAAAAGGCGACAAATGGTTAGTTATTTCATTGATCATAACTACTGAAGCTAAAATGTTTTAAGATTCACGCTAGTTAACTAAAAATTATCTCTTCCTATTGAATAATCCGTCTTAACGGTTGAAATTCGATATTGCAGTTACCTATCATTTATTTCATCTTTTAGTCTCTTAGCGCATCATGAGTCGTTACAATCGGTTGGAAGTTTTAAACTAAACAAAATGTTCTTTATTACAATGTAGGTCATTATGATCTTCTAAACGTCTACATATTATAAGATTATTAAGATGTTATCAGAGCTATGAAATAGTGTCTATTAAAAAATTGTTGCAAATAACACATTTTGATTTTTGGGGATGTTTCAATAAGATATCAAACACGCTGTATGTATACAGGTATTTTTAAAAACATGTCTTGTTCATTTTTCTAGACCTCACTAATGCAGTAACAAAGCAGCAAACTGTTACTACAGAGGCAAAAGTGCAAATATTACATTACACACAACATGCTAAGTTGAAGCTGAACGATGATTCTGATTCTCCTAATAAAATGGAAAGTGATAGTACAGAAGATCGGACTATTTATACACCTGCATCTCAAACATTGTGGCATAGTGCCACAAATCTCGAAGATAATGACTCAGATAAAGAGAACATACCACATGATGAAGACAAGGATGTTAATGTTGATCTAGTTAAAGAAACAGAAGGGCGTAGAGTGAGCATTGTTATGCCAACTCCAGTCCTCAAACGAACGGATGTTCAAATGAAAATTCGGCTGCCAGTTCACTTTGCTTCAACTCCCGTATCGTCGATTGAAGAAGTTAAAGAGGGACCAGTTAGTGCTATAGAAAATGTAGATTCAAGAGTTCCTCCGCGAACTCCATATGAAACTCCTCAAGCAAGTTGCTCACAATTCATTGGAATGAAAACATTTGGATCTAGAATTGAGCCGTATTCAAAAATCGAAGCGGGTCCGTCTAATATTAAAGATAAATTTGGTTCATCATCGGCAAAGCACGGACATAATATGCAGAAAGAAATGGGCGGTTATCACCAAATAAATGGAAAACAAAATATAACTGAAACGTCTGTGAATTTTACTTCCACTAGTTCTATGACGGAGTCTAACTTATGGAGTTCTATGACACGGGTGGTCAGAAGTGTTTTAGGACTTTCCAAAAAGAACGAAGACTGTTCTGTTAGTATAGTCTCAACATCTATGAAAAGAAAGTTGTCGGAAGAAGAAATGGATGTTTTTGAACTACCTCAGAGGAAACGTTTTAAATATAGCGATATTAAAGGCCGAAAACCGATCAGATCCGCATCTCTGTTATTGCCGACTCTTTCCAGCGAAGTGGCAACTTTTGAATTTGTAGGCTCAGTTAGAACATTATATAATTGCGCTAGAACAACGAAGTGTGATAAATATACGCAAACAGATGACTCTCTTATGTATGCTTGGTTTTCTTCCAATGGACTGCAATAAGTGATACATATAGCGGTTAGTTTATTACTCATTCGTTCACCGGAATATTTTATATGTGTTATTATTAATTTATAATTGGTCTGTTTCAAAAATTTTAATATAAATATCTTTGATTAAAAGTACGTTTTGGTTAGTTCACTCCTCCTAGAACCCCTCTAGAGCCAGTGGCGTAGCGAGCTTAACTTGCGCCCGGGGCACAGTACCTTTTTAGCGCCCCCCGCTCCCCTTTCGAAAAACATATAATATATGTAAAATATTCATATATATGAAAAAGTGACATAAATAAAGTCATAGGCTCAAGCTAGGCTTTACATTTGAGGCAAAAAATATAGTTGAGAAAAGAAGGGTAGAGATATGATCACCTAGAATTAGTTCAAAAGATACATATAATTTATTTTACATACTTAAAAAATATGCAGTTTTAAAACAATAGAAAGTAAATGTTCATTATCTCTAAGAAGATATATATATTAAATAATAATATGATTATAATACATTAATAAAACATGTCTAAATTGTCTTTCCAAATTTCTTTGTCTTTTGTTGATAATTTAAAATGTTTCTCTTTCCACACTTAAAAATGTTAGATCACTTAGGCGATCTTGTCCCATCGCTTTAGGTTCAATTTCTTTTCTACTGCGTAGTAACATTTTGCAGTCACATATTTCGATGACGAGTTTGATTCGATTGAAATCTGTATTGCAAAACTCGTTATCAACATTATCCTGGTTTAATAAATTTTCAACGTTTAGAAAAAATCCAAATTTGAATAAAGATCAGTTAATCATGTAAATCGTGTACATATTTCTTGTTGGAGACGATCGAGAACGCTTTTCATAATGCAAGAAATTTTACTTTTTGCGGAAAGACCAACATCTCTCTTCTCAGGTGATTTTGTGGTATCTTCCTACACGTATTGTTGTATCAGTATCCCATTTTTCACAACGAGACTTTGCTTTTTCTATTACCTTATACAAATAATGCTTTATGATTGTTTTCATTATTCTTTGTTGAACGCCAGATGTGCGACCTGCTATCATATCAATAACAAACTAATATTGAAATTTCCTCGAAATTTGAGTGTTTTCGATCGAGGCTAGCATGCATTTCAATTAGACTACTAGTCTTCCTTTTTTTCTTTTCATTTACGAATTAACATTGATTATATCACACTGGCACTGAATTTAAAATATATTTTCCAGAAATCAATAATAATAAAAATAAAAATCATCCAGCAGTTTTTTGTTTTGCGGACCATTTGGAGCCCCTTTGTGAGTTGCGCCCGGGGCATGTTGCCAAAAAAGACGCATGTTTTGCAATTATGAATTTGTCAAAATTTATCCATAGGTTTAGAAGAAATTGATCATTTTGCCTTTGTACAATTACATTTCAGCACTCTGTTAAATTCGTAATGAAGCATTCTTGGCTGTCTTAAGCTTATCTTCGGACTTACAATATGTAATTAAAACTATGCCACTTCTTCATAAAACACCTTGTTCATTCCACAGATATATGTTCATCCAATATATGACACGCAAAGCGTCCGCTGTTTTTAAATGGAATTTAAATGGAAAATATCGAAATATTGGAAATTCAGTGACAAAAATTCTTCATTCTATTACATTATTTCAACTAAGCTTAAATTTTGTTATTTTTATATAAAAGTTCTCAGATTTGATTTATGATTAAATACATATAGATATAATTATTCTGTGAAACCAATTTAATTTCTCTTATATGCGGTCTCTTACTATTGCGTTTTATTCAAAAATATTAACGATTGGAAATGCTACAATTAATGGACAAAATATATTTTATGCACCATTTGCAAGTGCCTCGTGTATCTGGTAAATAAAACTGCGATATTTCTGAAACGTGTAATAATTTATTGTTATTTACAAATTAGCAGTAGCACTTAAAGCACCTGAAGTTCAGTGAATTGAAATAAAAGACATTAATGTTACACCTTATGCATCTATGGAATTACCCGCAGAAATAAACAATGCTATACAAAAACTTAAAATTTAAAAACAAAACTACAAAACCAAGTATTTAATGGGAAATGTCGGTTTACTCATTATGCATTTTATGCTCTATATACCTATTTAATTATAAGGTAGTCGTCATTAAAAATGTAGGCATTATTTTTACTGACAAGGTCAAAATCCTTGTGTATATTTACAAACATACTTGTGACAATTTATGTAGCCATTATTTGATCCTTATGAGCTATAATGAATATAATTAATAAATTACCAACTTTATTTACAGGTATCAAGATCATGCTTTATGTGAAATGTCTTTTCATCAGAAAACTCATTATTATGAAAGTAGGTAGCTGAAATTGGCCAAGTAAATGATAGCTTTTTAATGTTATTATCGCAGCAGCAAAAATTATCAAAAAATCTGTATAAAAATATTATGTACAACTAATTCCTGTATGACTATAATGACTACAGTTTGCAATATCCTAAAGGCAGTGAAAAAATTTGCAAATAGTTTTACTAGGAACAAGTTTTATAAAATCCAACCTTAGTTTCTAAAGTTTCGGTATAGCTATTCATTTGGTCTATTAAACTTTTCAGTTTCTTCTCCAAGTCATCCAAATCTGAATCTTGACTGCTCTCTTTAAGCTCTTGAATTTTGTTTTTATTATTATTTACTTTTTCAACTAAGTCCAACGCTTTCTTTGATAAATCTTTAGCTCGTCCTTTAGTTTTATCAACCTTAATTAGTGTGTCAGTTAAACGATGCCGAGCAGTTTTGTATTTGCCTTGCAACTCCTCAGAATCCGAACGCGTTTTTTCTGCCTTCTTGAGGGTGTTTTCTGATTCTTCGATTGTCCTACTTGCGGAATTTTCACTATCAGTGATATTTTTTTGAAGCGCAGTTATATTTTGCTGCAAATATTCCAATCTGCGTTTAATATTATTTCCTTCGGCAGCTTTCGTTTTTGATCCAATCTAAAATAAAAATACATTTATATATATGAAAATAAGCTGATGGGTGTTACTTTTAGAAATTACTTTAGACAAGAACTATAAAACTCATCAAATAAAACATCGTTACTAAAAAATCACAGTCTTTATATCATAGCATTTTTCATCCGTAAATCTTCATCCGAATGAAATATCAAACAAATTACATTTTGATCGGCATCGTGCTTTTGTAATAAAAATTTATATGCATATACAAGTTGATATATGATGTTTATTTTGTACCTCTTTCAAAATATTGGTTATATTTTCATAGTCACTCCACGCCTTGTCTATTGCATTGATTGCTTCCTGTTGGGCATCTTGCGTTTTATTTAAAGATTGATTCACTGCTTCAGCATTATTTAATAACTCTGTGGCATTTGACCTAGAACAATTGAATTAAGCGAACTTTATCATTGATAATATTTACACGAAATGCTTACTTTGCATATTCAGCGTCTTGTTTCAGGCGGTTAACTTTGTCTAAATCATTTTTAGTTTCTTCTATAATGTGGTCAGTATTTTTCAATCTATGTAGAGCATCTCTAATATTATTCGCCAGTTCTCGAACCTGGTCTTCAGTTTTGTGTACATTTTTACTTAAAACTTCCTCAGCAAGCATTTTAATTTCTTCAGGATTAGTATTATTTTGTCCCATGAATTCGCTCATCTCTTTTATGACAAGGGCAGCTTTGCTTAAGGAATTGTTTGAATCGCCTAGCGTTCTGTTTATAGCATCAAACGATTCCTGTGCCAATCGGCGAGTTTCATTGGTATTAATTTGAGAAACGTTACGAATCAAATCGTTAGCAGCAGTTTCTTTTTCCTTCAATGCTGTCTCAGTTTTCTTGGCAAGAGTAATCGCTGTTTCAGCTAACTGTTTGGCTCCATTTTCACAAGAAATTGAGTTTCCACAACTTTTACAACCAGCGCCGCCACAAATAGAGTCACAAGGATCTCCAGCGCCATCACACACCAAATCATTAAGTTCTGGAATTTGTGCATTTAAATTATGCAATTTTTCTCGGATATTTTGCAACTGATTTTCGTTGTCTTCTGACTGCCTTAGATACGTATCCTTCGTTTGATTTATAAATGTTTCTGTTGCTTTGCATTGATTTTCAGCGTAACTAATATCTTGTTTCGAATATTCGGCTCTATGCGCTGCTCTATCTGCTTTACTTTTTGCTTCATTGATAAGTGTCAAAGCACCAAGCACATTCGCTTCTTGAAGTTTGGTGCCGTTATTCTCTAATTCTTTAGTTTTTCTCATTAATTCAACAATGCTGTCGTTAAAAGCTTTAACTTTCCGATCTGTAAGAAGAATATTTTGTTTTATGTTTGCCAAGGAATTATCAAGAATTTTCAGTTTTTCATTTTCGGTTTCGTTAATTTGGCTTCTGAGAACCTGGAGGTCTTCCTCTATGGCATCAGCATCTACTTCGTTGGTGTTATTTAACAGTTGTTCAATTTTATCCAATCGGGCTTTCATTGAATCGAATTCTTTTGTATATGCACCAGTAGCTCCTACTTTCTTGATGTCTCCAGCCCGTTTAATAATGTCCAATGTTTTATCTAAAAGAAGAAGCAATTAAGTTCATGCCATTTTGAAATGTTACCGGTTAATTTATTCAACGAAATTTTTAATATGTTTGATTTACTTTTGCTTTGCTGCAGTATCCTATCCCAATTATCAAAACATTCTCCACAAGTAATACAATCGGGAACGTTTCCAATAAATCCTCTCTCGCAATGATCACACTTGTGTCCTCCAACTCCCGGTTGGCAAATGCAAGCTCCCGTTCGCATATCGCATTGCTGATTTTTGGCACCAGCAGCATCACACTCGCAATCTAAAAAAATTATAAATCAGAATTAATTCAATTAATTATATTTACATAAAAATCTGTATGTATTTCTGTTTGATCAAAATTGTCAAAAACACACTCCTGCATGCAATATAAGTTTTTTTAATCTCTATCCATTTTTTGTTGAAATTGAAACCATACGTAGAAGTAAAACTTTATACGTAGAGGTATAACAAAATTACTGTACATTATAGTTTATATTTCTAGGCAAAGAGATATGCTGTGAAAAGTTTGCATTTTCAATAATTTTTTTCGTCTTACGTAAGCATTCCACTTTGGGATCGCCATAAAATCTGGGCATACACTCATTACATTGTCTGCCACCAAACCCAGATTTACATTCGCACTGTCCATCAAACTGAAATTGAAACGTTTATTGATACAGTAAAAAATTGCAACGTTTTGATAAAAAACCAGTTAATTTCATAGTGTCATATTAGTATTAATACGAATAGAAAGATAATGTTTTGGAGATTAATACATACCAAATTGCACTGAGTATTCAACGATCCAAACTCATCACAGTCGCATGCTTCGCATCCTTTTCCGCTTGCAATTTTCCAGTGATCGGGTTCACATTCATTGCAATGAATTCCAGTAACGTGTGGATAACAATGGCACTGTCCTCCGGATGGATCGCATGGTCCGGAAGTGAAGTTTGTTCCCAGCATATGACACAAACATTCTAATAAATATGAATTTATAATTATTTACAACTTTGAAAGCAATTTTTTTATGAAGAGGGTATTTTCGTCCACTTTTCATTTCCACGTTTTGAAGAGCATTACCTTGACAAGGAAGGTCTTCTGCAAATCTGAAGAAACCATCTCTACAAACTTCACAGTGGTCCCCAGTGGTTTCATTTAAACACTTAAGGCATTTTCCTGTGTGAGGATCACAATTTCCAGGCTGGATTAAGTCTATCTTCTCATTGCAATCGCATGGTGTACAAAGGCCCCCTGGTACCTCTGGATTTCCATAGTAATTATCTGAACATACGTCGCACCTTGTGCCTGAAGTAACAGAATATATTAAATATGCGACTGATGCGGTTTATAAAAATTGCACACCTGCATATCCCTCTTGGCATTCGCAAATAACATCTTTAGTCTGAAGGTCCAGAGAACATCTGTCTGCATAAGAATGATTAGATCCAGCCGATCCAGGACAAGGACAAGGTCTACATTGGATATCCACGCCAATTTTTGGATTTCCGTAGAATCCTTCAATACATGTTTCGCAGTGATCACCAGTTGTATTGTCCTTACAGTTGATGCATACACCAGTATGGGCTTCGCACGTGTCGGCATGCCCATTGCAGTCGCATCGAGCACAGTTGGGGAAACTGATTAAACAATTTTACTTTAGAAAATTATTTCAACAATACTCATAAAACGGTCTTACTTCCAAAATCCGACTCGGCACTGGTTACATTCTCTTCCATAGGTATTTGCTCGACATTTGCATTGCCCAGTGGTGACATTGCATAAATTATCTATAGCTCCAATGCTGTTGCAATCACAAGTTATGCATCCCTCTGGACCAAAGTCGTAAGTTTTTGGAGCGCACTGATCACATTTTCTTCCAATTACATTTCGCTTGCAACTACACATTCCTCCATGTGACTTACAAAACTTGCTTATTGCTCCTGTTGGATCGCAATCACATGGTTTGGCTCCGTTGAATACTTGTGCCGCAATACTAATATGATATTTTTTACAAACCTCCGGTACTTTAGCATCTTTTGTGAACATTGAAGGGTGTCCACAGTTAAAACGTGTAAATTCTTCCAGTCTCTGAATACCAGCCGCGCCATTAAAGAATGGAATGCTTTCAACTTTTGGTCTAAGCCAAATCGCATCTATTAACACCGAAGCAGTGCGCGGAGTTTGGTAGTTTTTGCTTGTACTGAAGTCTATGCGTATTATGTAGAATTTGTCAGCTTCCAAACATATTTCAGGACGTACTGTTTGCTGTCGTTGATTTGATGGCAAATTAGTATGCATGATATCTTCGCGGCCTATGTCGGCACATGGTCCATTAGGGTCTATAGGGCCAGGTCTTTTAACTGTCACTTCTACATCTTCCATGCTTTCAGATGACGTTGGTTCGTACTTGATGATCAAATCATAGTCCATAGATGTTTTAATTTCATTAACATATATCTCCATGTAGTCACCAGCATATACTTTAATAAATCGACTGCCAGTCGATAAATATTCGTTTTCATCTCTGAAAGGTGCCCTGATCACCACTTGGCCACTAGTATTACTGGCTTCAGCTTCATACAAGAGGAAGTCCAGGCTGGCTATGAAATACTGTTGCTTTGTCGTATCACACTTTCTCCCAGACATGTAATCTCTACATCTGCACTGGCCGGTGATTACATCACAGAAATTGTCATACGATCCTCCTAAGTCACAATCGCAAGGTTGACACCCATCTTGCTTATCTGATAGGCCCCAGTATTGAGGTAGACATTGGACGCAATTCCGGCCGGTGACATAACGTTTACAGGTACATTCTCCAGTATGCACATTGCATCCTTGATTATTAACGGTACCCAAAGTATCACATGTGCAAGACTGACATCCGTCTACATTGCTTTCCGTGAAATTCCAGAACCCATTCTTACACTGATCACATCTGCGACCTTCAACGTTCGTTTTGCAGTGGCAGCTTCCTGCCACGAGATTATTAACCGTGTCGGTGATAGAATCACAAATACCTTCATCAAGGGATCCATGAGGGTCACAATCACAAGCTGAAATGAAAATTCAATTATGAAAGTGAAACAACATTAAAGATCAGCAGAAATGACTTACGTCGACAAACTTCTGGATCTTGAATATCCTTTTCAGGATCTTTAAAATAAAACGGTTTGCATATTTCGCAATTGGACCCCATGGTATTATGTTGGCAGCCATCACAAACCCCTCCGCTCGTTGATGCTTTAGTCTCAAATAGAGCCGCATCGAAATGACAGCTGTTGGCGTGATTGTTGCAATTACATCTTCTACAAGCATTTGATTGTTTACCAATAGCTGGCCTCCACGGCAAGTCATTGAAGAAATCTTCACATTTTTCGCAATTTCTTCCTTTCGTATTGTGAGTACATTCACAACGGCCATGAACCATATCTGGTTTTGGATCAATTCCTTTTAAAGGTAGACATCTGTTGGCGTGTCCATAGCAAGAGCACGAACCTCTTACAATCATATCCGTGATAGCGTAGTAATATTTTTCCTAAATTCAAGATATTAGGGTTACGCAATTAAAAAATCTCATTTGCATATAAGGTACTATACCTGGATTTCCTCTCTTTGGTCCAGCAGGTCATCACCTAGAGTGTGAAGTTTCGTAAAATTTATTCTCAAATTGGTCATTTTCAATAAATTTTGGACTTGCTCTGAATACGGATTATCAACTGGCATAGTCGGAGGCAAAACTCTATAAATTACCTCGCCATCAGTAGCAGGAGCTAGAGCAGAATATCTAGATTCACATACTACGTCAGTTAAATTTCCTGGATGTCCTTGTTTAATATTGGGGAAACTTTCCGTGCAGTTATGAGCAAAATATCTATAAACCTAAAATTTTAATTCAAAAACAGTAACAAAAAATGTCCCAGCTAAATATAGGTACCTGCCAAGTTTGCTTGAAATCATAAGATCGTTCTATAAGCATCGCAGCTGGTCTGAAGGTTTTAAAAGTTATTATCAAATGAGTGAAATGAAATTCTGCTTCCAGATCGAGTTGGATATAGACATTTTCTTTGCCGTTTTCTGATTGCCACCATGATCTAGTTCTCGTTCTGAAAGTTACCGTCTTAAATAAAACAAATACCTGCAACTATTTAAAGCTGAACATACCCTGGATACATCCGATAAACAATATTGCTTATGTTGTGATTATACAAAGGATTCGGTTTGTTGGTAGGTCTTGAGTCGCACCAAAAACACTTTTTCCTTTCTTCATCCAAATGGGATACTATACAGTATCTCTCTCTTTTATCAAGTCCACATGTTGACGACGAATAGAGCTGATTCTCTCTACCTATCAGCAAATTTCCAGTAGCAGGGTAACATGAACTTTGCTCACAAGGATGATGTTTCGGCTCATATCCTAGATTTCGATAAAACAATACAGATTTAGACAAACGCACAGTACTGTACAACGGGGATTAATCAATGCTAATTAGGAAAAATATTAAATAGAAACAAAGCACAAATACCTACACCTTGGTCGAAAAAGATTGTTATATATGTTATGGCTAACCTGGGGCAGTTATCTCTACAAAGGTTGGGTACAAATTGAAAAAAAAGACCAACACCTCGGACAATGAGTCAAGGGCAAAAGTAGACCTGCTAAAACTGACCAATTATAGACTGGCTATTATCTGTATGCAGCTTAGCCAGAGGATGAACCACCTCTGCATTTGGTATATCAGGATTGTTATCTGGTCCCGGTGTTTGATCTCCTCGTTGAACATGATTTACAGATGCTACATAGGATACGTTTTAGTATAAATTTGGAAATAATTTAACAATACTGTTGCGTGGCCCAAATAGATCGTTCTCCTCGCAAAGCAGTATTTTTCAAATATAATAAAGTAATGTGGGGTCTCACCTTTAACAGGATAATTCCTAACTCGTGGCTGCCTGGAGTTTAAGAACTGTGCGTGTACAATAGGAGCTAAAAATTCAGAAAAAAACTTTAGACAAATTCAACACTTTATTGCGACTCATCTCACTTACATGATATTAAAATATAAATTAGAAGCTCCCAAGGTCGGAACATTATTGAGAAGGTTACCATACGAGTTTCGCTGAAAAGAAAGACAAATTATCTACTTTAGAAACATGAATTTACCGGCATTGCAGGCTTTAAAATGTATGGCCAATACATATTGCTGTTTTAACGATTTTGTAATTGGAAAGGTCATTGACCATCAGCACCGTAATTAGACTGTAATGCAAACTTGCAAATCAAATTGCAATGATGTATAATTTCACCAAATCAAAATCCGCTCAAAATTATTAATTTTGTTTCAATTTACTTTCAACTACCAGAAGGAAGGGTGATCCAGAAGGAAGTGCACTGAATCAGAAGATCACGGCCTTGATTTTTTAATGAAACAACCTCCATTAAATTACATGGAGGGGAGGTACATTTTGGAGGAATTTGAATTGAGGAATTGAATTAAGGAATGAAATATAATATTACAATTAGGAATTTTTTTGGAAAGCTTTTTGACACATTATACAGTACGTACATAATTTATTACATTATTCAATAAACCCTTGATTATTTGTTCACTTTATTGTTAATATATTTTATTCCCTTGAAAATGTTTACAATATATTCTAAAATTGGCGTCTTAAAATTACACTTCATGCGTTTCAAAATAAAATTCTCAAAATCTTAAAATAACAAAGTTATATGTAGCATAGAACATTAAAAATCAACAGCTTTGGGGCTTAGATAATGACTATAGAAGTGGTCTTAAATGATTTTCAAATGTCCCACTGTTTAACATTTTTTTATTAAAATTATTCATATTTGGAAGATATATATTTCGACACAATTTAATGGAATTAATTATTAAGTTAATTATCAAACAGAACATAACAGAATTTATAGCGAATATAAAACTTTAGCGCATCTTGTATTGCGATCAGTAATTTTTACATGCAGTAGAAATTTAGAAATTTTGTCCGTTGTATGGTTATATACAACATTGTCTTCTGATACATATGTGCGGTTTTTGTTTCCGAGTATTAAGCTGGAAATCTAAATCTATTAATCATGTGGTGGATGGAAAAAATAAACCGTTCAACACCCGTTCGTTACACAAATATTGTGGGATAAAAATTAATTAGTGATATTGGAGTTGCAAATATTTAGTTGGTATAAACATTTATAGTTCGTATAAACTGTTTATGTCTTCATGTTGAGTTCGCCGAAATGAATAACCTACGGTATTCATTTTGATGTTAATAATTCTTAGTTGATGTTAATAATTCTATAAATCTTAGATTATATGTACTTTTGTAATTCAAAGTGGCTTTATTTCCAAAAGAAAAACTAGATATTAATCAAACAAATTAAATTTTAAAAATATTTTCATTAGTATATATTTTTGTTGTTTCGAATCAGAAATGTTGCTACATTACTCGTTTTAAAAATGTACATAATTATTCAAAAAATACGTTTTTCGTTTTTTTATTATCTCTATTTATAACTGAATTAAAATACATAAAATACTGCCCTGTTGCTCATGGATTAAATTGGTCTGGTTTCCATAAGAAAATGACATCATAAACATGGCTGGTCTTTACTTTAAAATGAAATCAGACATTAAACACCCGCTGTTCGCCACAACACTACAAACTAAACAATCATTATTGAGTTTGATGAAATCATTTATGACAACATTGAAAATTAAAACATCTGCTCTTTGGGTTTCCTATTTCATACATTGGCAAATTTAAATGTTGCTATCGCGTATCTATCATGATTAATTTAAACTTAACAACTGTTCTAAATCATCTGGTTTGATAAAATAAAAGTCTTAAGTTTAGAAGCAAAAGGAAACAATAAAGGAATGGCTTTAATGCTTATGCCATCTGCTAATTTTGTATTCTTCCACAACTAAAAATACATTTTATAGCTTAACAGTTTATGTCCACCGGAAGGTACCTACTTTTGCTAGTCACAGAAATAGCATAAACGTCCGAATGAACATAAATAATTTCAAACGATTTCTTTGTAAAGATAAGTCCTGTTTGAATTAGTATATTATTTGGTCTTATCTGAGTTTCAGAGGTGGTCAATGATATACCATTAAAATTTAGTATTTTATTTATGCAATATTTCACCTTTGACCTGCTTTAATCACATCCCGATTAGTTTTATTACCAAAGATTTAGACTGTTTTAGAAAAGAATTTGAGTAAAAATTATGTACATATGGAATACATTTTACCGTAAGAAGCGGATCCGCATGCTACTGAAACTGATTTTATTGGAAACATTATTTCAGTTTGTTTATACTCATATTGGCTCGTGTCGTCATTTGATACTTGATATTGAAATATGAAACTTTTTAGGTAGTTAACATCAAGGTCCATCTTGTAAAGAATTTTTTTTGAATCATTTTTCTCGATATCAATCATCTAAAGTTGAAACAGTAGATTAGATTGAGATCAACAAGTTTTTGTACATTTTTAATAGTTTAAGATACATTTTAAGTTCCGAAAGAAGAAAACTTACAAACTTGGTTGGTAAGTTGTTTAAGTTTTTACTTTTTTGGCTATGTCGGAAGGAACAATAAACGAAATTGGCTGTAAAGATTTTACTTTGTTTTTCGTGCATATTTCAAGAATTATTTTCTTACAACTGCAAATTATACTTCCTTACGTTTCGCAAGCACGAGTGGCTTGCATCGTCCGCAGATGTGCTTTCAAGTGTAATTGACAACTTTTAATAATTCCGCTATAGAAGATACGATGGAAAATGAATAATATTAATAATAATATTCAATTTTCTTGCTGATAAGATAAGGTAAAATATGTGTTTTAGCACCAATAATTTCCTTATAGTAAATAATGGAAGGTATTTGTGAAGTTAAAGGAAATAAGTAACTGAAAGGACTAAAGGAAACAAGACAGGATCCCAATATATAAATATTATATCGATATTAATACAAAATTAATTATTATAATTACATTAATACAAAAATTCGTTTTCGCTGTAACAGAATCTCTATAAATCAGTTACTGATAAGCCATGTCGAATGTCACGTTTTTCGGGTGGCTGACCCAAAATTATAATTTCAAAATGCATACGGCTTTTCTTCCAGATTATAAATTTTAGAGGAAATTCATTAACTCATAATTGATCGGCCTAAATTATAATAAAACGTTGATAATTAATGGGGTTCAAATTAAGCTTGATATTCGTTTCCGTTGGCATACATTAATGTATCGAGCGGATAATTAAAGTTTTTAGTAAAAATTCGTTTGTGATTGCAAAAAGCATAAACCGTCATCTACGAATCATTAATGAAATTGCATTTGCCTTATATGAAAGGAGTGCATTAAGGAAATAGCTCATACACTTTGGGTATAATGCCAACATCAAATAAAGACGATAAAAATATTAATATCGGGTTTTAGGCATGAGACCACCATACAACCCAGAACCGGTTTCAAACCTGTTATTTTTCATCAGATAAGGGTAGCCTGCAAATTTTAAGTTTAATATTCCCATCTCTTATTAGTTTGCAAACGAAAATTACAAATGCGATTATTGTGTCCCAGATTTCTTCTCAGGGTCATAGAGAAACGGGCTTCTCTTTAGCATAATGCCTCATTCCAAGTTATTATGCATATTACCAGGTGCATGATATTCCTTAATGACTTATTCCTAATGCTTCAGAATGTAACAATTCCGAACTTATGTTCGGAGACGCGTTAACTTATATGTATTTTATTTTCGTTCAGGTAAAACAAATGGCAACTTATCGTAATATCAAATGCTGTAATCAATAACATAAGTAGTCTTAAATACATGACTAGAAATGTCATTAAGTTTAGACCAAAAACTTCCAAAATAGCGACTGAAACAACGAATGCACTGTTGATTTTATTAAAGGCGATTTAAGTACAGCTGTTACTTAACGCTGTTCTTGAACCCATAATAGCTTTAATAGCATTTCTGGCATCGCAAACCTCGTACGTTTTCAAAAGAAAATTTGCGATTTCCTATGTGCTAAGAAATTATTAAGTTAAGTTTAAATATTTTATTATATTTTCGGATAAAAGTTAGAGAAAACACAGGTATTCTGACCTCGACATCAGAATAAATGCTCTAGAGAACCAACCATTTCAGGCTACACAATTCGCTATTCGAAAATGCAAATCCTCTACGGACGCATGCAGACAAATATTCTCGTATAAAAATAAGAATAATTTAGTATGTTGTTTTCAAGGGCTACACTTAGTGGATGTGTACAAGGAGGAAACATTGTGAGGAAGAACAACGGAAAGTCCTGATAATGTTGTTACACAACTTTTTAACCGACTTTATTTCAAAGAAAGCAAGCATTTCTTCAGAATAATTCAGAAATAACGCAAACTCCGCTTGGCTTACAATTGATCTTATTAATTACTGAAACTGCTTAAAACTCTTGGATAAAGTTCAATGAGTAAAGACAAATACATATAAAAATCTGCGAAAAAACAATTGGTTTTTTGTTTTTTTAAAAGTATTGTTTGGTTGTAAGGAATATTTATTTCAAGTGTGCTCATTTTTTCACGGAATTTGTAAACATTTTAATTGCAATGCGATTATTGAAATGTTAAAGTCTATACTTTTGAAACTGGCTACAGGACAGGAAATGTGATGTATGTATATATCAGCATTAAAAAAGCGACAATCTTGACATCAATTGTAGCCCAAAAAAATTAGATGTACTGATTGAAATGCTATAATCTATTTATGGCCTCATAAAAGAGAATCTATTCAGACAGATGTTTTTGGAATTAGCTCTGGGAGCAACGCCAGATTTATCAAATTCCCATATTCTTAAATATATTTAAATAATCATTTAAGACCAACTTTAACTGAGACGTAGTTTTGCAGGAAATTACTACCTACATTTAGTCAAATAATCTTATTTCCTTAAGTATTTATAGTATTTCTGAGCTATGCCTTCCGAAGTTCGAGGCTGGATGTATACAAAAAATGTTTTCGGTAGTAATTAGGCATACAAAATGGACTTTCTTAACCTAAGCACATGAACAGGAATTTCTTCATAAAATTTATTATTTTAGGGATATTTTGCATTTTTGGCTCCGTTCTCTTGGATCAGATAGGAGTAAAATCCAATGATCTGTTCTCTTTATTGATCTTTTCTTTTTCTTATCTTATTTTATTTGATTGGCATGTTATTCCTTCTTTTAGTCGTCATAATGGTTTCATATCAGAAATTTGATTAGTAGACTTAAAAATTAACACGTATGTATATATGTATATGTTTCTTTTATATTTTGTGTCATTTTAAATTTGAGATTTTTTTACACACAAACTTGTTATTGTTCCCTCTAAAAATAACTTGATTCGAAAATTGAGTACACCCCAAAATGTAATTTACTGAAACTGCTTGTAAACTTACACTGGATCGAATTAGAGAAGGATTAATTCGTACTGTTTAAAATACAGCTCATAGACTAAACTTTTAATTATTTTTAACCAATGCCTATAGCCAACGCCTCTAACTTTTATATCCGGAAACTTAAAACATAAAATTTGAATATTTTGCAATGCCATTGTTTCCTATACGAAAAACAAAGTCCACAACTTTTAGATAAAAATGTCATTTTATAATACAAAACAAACATGGTTTCAGGTGCACTTTCATAATAAATATGAAATCCTGCTCATTCTTCGTTTTGTAAAACTTAAAGATATTTGAATTAAGTACTCATTAACAGCTAACGTTGGTAAGGAAACTAAAAAACAAATAGCATAAATAAATAATTAATTACACTAAGCTGAGTTGCCTTATTCTACTCATTTTTTCATCCTAAAAAGCCCTTTTTCTCTAATACGAATATTAGGGGTGTCAACTAAAGGTTTGAAAACAATAGGATTTCAAAATGTGCTTGCAAATAGCCATTTTCCCCAGTGGCGTAGAAGTTAGTCGTAAAATAATTTCGCTCAATTCCGAAAATTTTGATAATAACAAATTAACAAATATCACTTCACAGTTACAAAAAATACAATTTTATAAAATTTGTATTTCGATAACCGTGTGTCTTAGGACCGTTCAGAAAAATTGCAATTTTCTATTAGTAAGTTGCTGGTTTTGGACAAAAATATCCACAATTTTAAGTCAAAATTTTTTGTTAGTTTAAGTCATTTTCAGGCTAATTATCGATGTAACCCCATGTGGTTTGATTGACTTGGAACAAATCAAAAATTTTCACATGGAATATTATGAAAATATTTTGAATTCGCCCAGAAAATTATTTAACATGAATTTGAACCTTTGATTGTGGTTCAAAAATTGAAGTTGTTTGCATATTTTTGTCTACAGCTACAAAATAATTATCATGCGTTCCAATACTAATGTAGAAGCACAGAGAAGTAAAATAACACAGTAACTAACTAAAACAGAAGAAGTAAAATAACACAGTAACTAACTAAAACTGGCTAACGTAAATTGGCCAATATACGTTTAAATAATCATCAAGTTCCTTCTAATTCAGTCTCATTTTTTAATTTAATTAACAACCGTATTTGTTTGTTTAATTGTTGACAATTCATCAGAATTGTGTTAACAGAGCAAAGGAAAAGATGGAAGGAAAAATTAAAGGGAAACATGTAATAGATTTTATTCCAAATTGTAATGATTAGTTTGTAAACGTTTTTATTCGTTATTCTTGTATAATTTCGGTAGTACTTGAATAAATTTAATCGTTTTTTTTACCTAGTTTTGAAGGAACATATACATATTAGTCCATAAGTTGAAATTGCAACAAACAGAAGCTGATTAGTTAATTAATATAAACAATAATACAAAAATAGAAATAATTTTAAGCTCCCGATTTTGTTCTAAAAAGTAGCACTATCTGTGTCGTTCTTGGTTTGATCCGTAACAAAAGTATGAAATACGATGCTAAACGCACTCTAAACTAAGTATTAACTCGGAAATATGAGACAGGTATGTAATATCTGCGATATTTTATTTTACTACACATAAACAATATTTTTTAGCACATGAAGGAAGTTGAATGATCAAAATGTGATACATATGCATTTTTATATTAAACCATAGCAAAATTTGAATTGCTTTCGACTCAACTAGTATACTTTTTGGATTATCTGAAACCACTATTTTTCTTCAATATTAACGTTTATTTAACTGGTCGTATATAAAATGTACTCGAATTAGATAAAATTGTCTTTAAATAATTCTGTTAATTACCAACAAACTTAGATTGGAACGTGAAGGAAAATGAAAAGCTCTAAAAATGTTACCATAAACAGTCATAATAAGTCATAAAAATACAAATTAATTTTGTATACCTAATAAAAATGATAATATCAAAGGGCAATTTTTTTATAAAATTACTCTATAATTCAAAATGGCTGACTACTTAAAGCCACTTTTAAACCCATAGAAAAAGAGCTTTCTGAAGAGATTCAACAAAACCATACATGCGTTAAACTGGGTAAACTTTAATAAATATTGCCATCCAATAAAATGTGGGAATGTTTGGACTGTCCATGGGTTATTTACCTCTAAAATGCACTTCCTTTATCCTTTATTATAATCTCAGCATATGCACTTTCTTATTGTATGAAAACTGCTAAATAGTCATTCACTGAACACAAAACAGCTAAACACAATTAAGATAATAAAACAAATTAAACTATCAGCATGTTATCGCACTGCCAGAGCCAAATGCATTAAAAAACCTTAATTTTTTGTTAATTTGGCTATTGCGGTTATGTTGAGAACCGCTGTTGGTAAGTTTAATGGGCACTGCGTGACACAGACCTACATGGTACCAGTACACAGCGCGGAACTTTCTTCAGAAGACTCGAAGAAACGAAGGAAAATGGCACTACCTGCATTTTACTTACCAGAGGATGGCATACGCTCTCTTTCAAACACAAACTGGTACTATTTCCAGTTCGAGATTTTCTAGCGAAGGCACTCGTAGCTTTTGCTTATAATTTAGCTTAGGATGAAGTTTATATTAGGATTGGACCTCCACATGATACTTCTTTAAAAACACGGGCGAGACAAACAGCGAAACAACTGCAGCACTGGAATGGATCCCGGGGAACATGTGTGGAACACTTGTCATGATTTTTCTGGTTTCCTCTTCCCTCTTCTATAATTGCCAGATTCGGCTGATGAAGATTGATTTACGCTCATTTATTTTTAACCGCTGCACTTATCTGGAGCGTAATCCAAACATTTAGTCATTTTTTACTGCAAATTTATCTAAACCTTAACTTAAGACGCTTTGCAATAACAATGCATGCAGAAAAGTTGAATCTTCGCACAGTAGAAATGCATCTTCTATGAAATTTACAAGCATGTTTGTGTTATGCGCGGTTTTCAAATAATACATTCTCAACTACGGTGCACTTTCTCGTGAACGGACCCTGTACATCATATGTCCACTTAAGAGAAATATTCGCACTAAAAGTAAACAGTTTTATTATCAAATCTCAATACGCCCGAAATTGCAAAATATTATTTGATTTATTTATTAATAGCTAATGAAGAAAGAACAAAAATATATGAAAACTGAATATTACCAAATTATCACTGGTTCGGGAAAGATTTTTTAAACCTTTTTTTAATTAGAGATTCGTAAAAAATAATTCGTATACATATTACATATTTCACGATAGCTTAATTAGTTTAGTTCATCGATAAACTTGCCCGATATTTTTCAGAAAACGTTTGATAACATTTCTTAAAAAGTATGAAATTTATGCTTATTTTTTACGAGACCCAAAACGAGCACAGATGTATGACAAAAAAATTATTGGGTGCAAAATTATCACCTTCTTGTTCTTATAAACAAATTTCCCATTTTATCAATATTCTATCTAAATTGCCTAAATTGGTCCCAAGTGAAAAGCATTAACCAATATTTTTTTATATTAAAAATTTACCTCGAACGTAACGAGGTAAATGTATTCATCAAAAAGCGGAAAAACTTTCTAGTTTCTTGAAAAAAGACCACTTAGTCACAATCACTAAATGGAATGAATATATAATACTGAATCTGTTGTAGCGCGAGTATAATAAGCAATCTAGATACAGAACCCATGAAACAGTTGAACCGATGAAAAATTGTCTGAAGTGGTAGAAGACAAAGCCCATGCCATAAATGGGTTTCGTCATGTAAATGTAAGTGCGCAAATTTATATCTCTTATATGGCCTATTCTTAAATTTTCGGTCAGTATTTCAGATGCGTCCTCTCAAATCATCTTATTAAGTAATAATGAAAAAACGTGAATGGGGTTTAAGTCTTCTCTTGCAATATACGATGAAAATAAAAACATTAAAAACAAAATTATACATTCCCAACTGCGGGGCACTTTCTCTTGAACGGACCCTGTACACGAATGTCCACTTAAGAAAAATATTCGCTCTAGATGTAAACAAGTGGTGTTTATGTATATATCTCAATGCACCCGAGAATGCAAAAGATAATTTGATCTAGAAAACACAAAAAAAACTAAAACTGAAGCAAAACATAGTAGCATATTTTCAAATATCCCCGTTTATGTAATTTTTTTAAATTAAAGATTAATTCAAAATTATTCACGTATTAAATATTTCCGGTTTATCAATATACCTGCCTTGTATTGATTGGAAAATATTTCTTAAAATATCGAAAATTGTATTTTGTTTTTAAGAAAATTATGGTATAGTTAGATGCGCACGTAAAATCCTGTAGATTACCAAATTACTATGCGAGACGCAAAACGAGCACAGACAAATTAAATTATTTTTTATCTCCGTGGAAAAAGCTCGAGAAAAAATCGTTAGAGATTTTTGCACTATCCGATGAAAATTAAAATATTAGTGCTTTTAAGTATATCCTAAACGGCTTTAACTTTTTTGTTCAAGTAATTCGCACACAATCATAATGTAGTCATTCCAAAATGGTGCAATTGACAACCATAAATGCAAGATAATAATTTTTTGATATATAATTGAGCGGGCTTATCAGAAAACATGTCCGCTCGGATAAAAATCAGTAGCGTACCCATTTGTTCGAAAATATGCAGTTTGCTTCTAGTGGGGACATTATAAAACTGTTTTTAAATCAAGTTTGTAACCTAGGTAAAAACCTGCGCCAAATCCCAGCTGCTACGAACATGTAAAATTTCTTCAGAAAGAGCTCACTGAAATATTAACACTAACATTTAATGAAAAACTGCATAATTCAGCTATTTATAAAAGATGGGTCTGCCATTAGGCTGCTTTCTCATTTCAAGGTGAAAACTAAACATTGCACAAAATTGTAAAAACAAAATATTTTTCTTCTTGTTTATACCCAAACCTTATGACTTTGCGCTCTAACAGGAGCGCTCATTCACTCGTTAGAGCTCTTTTTTCGGCTCCCGCAATATCTGATCGATTGATGTTACATTTGTTACTTTGATTAGTACAATAAGCTGAAGTAAAGTACAAATGTCTCTGGTGTTATATATAAATTAGTATAAAAGTTGTTTACGATATTCTACGTAATGCGTTTTTAAAAAAAATTCTCTTTAAACGATAAAAACAGAAAGAAACTTTTTTGTCGCAAATCAACGACTCAAACCACAAAAATTAAATTTTTGTCCTTTAATTTAAATTTTATTGTATTTCTGTTAACACAAATTTGTTTTCACACCGATAAAAGATGTATTTTTATTCCAAACTATTATATAAGTTAGTTAGAAAATATGATAGATCCTTTAATAAATAGGAACATCGATGTAGAGGCGCTCTTCAGCTTTTTAAACACATACAATAAAGTAAATACATTTAAAAACGTTCAAGTACATATAGCTTCATACTATAATTAAATTACAAAGCACATTGGCCCTGGCGTGTTAAAGCGGGCCAAAACGGAGCTTCTACCTCTTAAAATATCGCAATTTTCTTCTTGTAACTTTCCATGTCTCTAGGATTTTACCGGATTCTAGCCAGTTATAAGAAATAATAATTAAATTTTCTAAAGACTTTCTTCCGTCGCTTGAATATTGTCTCTATATCATGTCTCTAATGACTAGTTGGGTCAAAAGCGCTTACTCCTATATTGAATTTAAATTACGTTTTTTGCGCTATATTCTTTCATTGCTAATCGAAATCAACACACTCATTTCTCGTAAATTTATAGTTTCAAACAATCGTTAAATACGGTACCACACATTCAGCTTTCAGCCGCTTGAAAATTTAATTATTAACTTATCTAAGGGTTGCGGATATAATAATTAATACCTTTTTGTAACTTGAAGAAATCTCTCAGGAAATCGGGAATTATCACTGGATTAAAACAGAACAGACACGATAAGGGTAGAAAGGCGAAACGCCGTTGATCTTCGGCACTGGCTTATCACAAAAATTCTTGTGTTAACATCGCGTGGAGACAGCTGAAATCAACTAAAATAGGACATATTTTCGTCTAATCTTCGATGCTGCTTCCTCTTTTCAGTGTGGGGGTCGCTGATAACGGCATCCGGCTGTTGAGAATTATATATTTTTGTTTTTTAATAAAGCGTTCAATTTTTTAATTAAATTCATCTTACTTCATATAAGTTTCAATGTTAACAGTACCTGAGTATATTGAAATTAAATTGTGCAGGTTTAAAACTTCTGTAATTAATAAACCTACTAAAGCTGTAAAAATGCATTTATACATTCGTCACATAATTTAAATGATTTTTAGAAACCTATTAAGCACAGTTTATTTTAAACCTCAATTTTATGAGAGAATAAGAGAACATAGAATTGATTTTAAATCGCAAAAAAGCACAAGAAATCGAAAATATGATACATAAAAATAAAATATAACTACATTTAACTCTAAAATTTCTGTTTCCTTTGACAATATGTTTTTTTTGTTTTATATGCTGACTGAGAATTAAAATATATTTTATTTTACTAAAATTTCCTGATCCTGAGTATCATAGGAATTAACTATATAATCATAAAATGGTTTTTCCCATATGAACTTTGATAATTTACGCCCTATTTTTGGTCTGTTTATAATACATCCTGTACTCGTTCATTTACCATATAACGGTACGAGACAATATGATAAGGTTAAATTTAATTCGGACCTAAAAAAACGCCCTTATCAAGAGGAAATGACATAATTCATTCAAATTCGGATCAATCCAGTGCTAAGTGCCAACGCTATGGTCACACCAATAGCTTTTGCCACTATAATTTGGGTCTACGCAGTAGATAAATGAAATCGATGAATAATAAAACCAGAGGAAAGAAAAATCTCGCGGAAATTATATGAAAAACAAAAAGAATTGCACAGTAAAAATATTATGATTTCAATACAAAGTTTTTAACTATTTTTCGTAACAAGGAAATAATTCTAATTTTAATTTTGAATATTCTGCGTTCATACACAGCTGAATTAGAGAGTTTGCCAAAAAGGTATATATTAAAGAGTAAAGGCTTGTAAGAATGTCCATTAAAAAATAAACATATTATATAAGTGATTTACGGCAGAATTAACATTATTTGATGAAATCACATACGTTTATAAAATCACATACGAAACAGATACAAATCACAAACATACCTTTTAGGAAATTTTGACGAAAAGTTATTGCTCACTACTGACCTAAAATATTAACTGGCCCTGGGTGAATGAATACTGCAAATTCCGAATAATTTTGTAACGTAATTTAAAAATATATATTTTTTAAGTCTGGGCAGAAAAAAGGCAAAATACTCATTTGTGTTACGTTATATTATGTGATAATTGCCTATATGTACATACGCACTCATCAAATGTTTGTCTGTGATATCGTCCGGTTTAT